TCGCAAGATTGAGGAAAATAAAAACAGCAAACGAGAACAGACCAGTATATACCTTTGGTCGCCGGTGTACAAATATCGCGTAGCCCTTATTTGGTCGTCGGTGACACAATAGCCCCAATCTATAAATAGAACGTCAACGTGAAGTGAGTGAGCCTTAAACTTCATAACCATCTACGGGGCCTTTACAGAAGAAAAATAAAAATAGAACTAAAATAAAGGGGATCGAACTAAGGCTGAGCTCAGAGTCGCAGTAGGTATCATGAGTAGGTATCATGGGCTACTTCTGATGGGGCACGAAGCATTTGGTCTCCCACAAGCGAAGACAGTCTCATATGATAGCCCAAATATTCGGCAAGGCTGAGGCGATACCACAAACGACAAACGACGTATGACACACGACATCGACATAGGACATAGGACATAGGACAAACGACAAACGACAAACGACAAAGGACATAGGACATAGGATATAGGACATAGGACATACGGCATAGGACATAGGACATAGGACATAGGACACACGACATACGGCATCCCTACAGACACCCTAACTGTGCCACAGACAGGTGTGTGCTCACTAGCAGTCCTGCTTGCCCTCCATCTACACACAATACAACAGCAGGAGCACCATTGCACAGAGCGTATAGTATGAGTCATACAAGCTTCTGAAACAAGTTGATCCGTTCACACCCCATGCAGCTTAGCGCCCTACCTGAGTCCGTTGCCATGGGCAACGTCTGGGGAAATCTCGGATCAGCTGAAGTCACATGGTTCATCCAGGGCTGCAGGATGTCTTCCTCGTCGCCATTGGCGTTGTTGTGTGTGGTGTGTGCGTGCGCGTCATCATTGGTGGAGGGGTCTGTTTGACGTGATGTGTTGGTGGATAGGTGTGGGTGTGTGGGTGTGTGTGTGTAGGTATGTGAGATCGCCTTCGCCAGACAATCAGTCCAGTCGTCGGCGGTATCGATTATACACATCCCGGACTGTGTGAGGAGAGGCAAGCAGATACAGACACTCTAATGAGAAACGGCATGAACACGGATATGCGCAGGAATAAAGATGTATCGTCTGAATTAACCGTAAATGAAACGTATCGGTTTAATTGATCGTATCGTTCAATTATAATTATATATATCGTACAATCACCTCAATACAAACCCGATAGGCAGCTACACCCGAGCATGCACTACTGAGAGTCACGGATTAAACTAAGGCACACAAGTATATAAGTGAGAGTGTTACTTGCTTTGAGCATATTTAACGTATTGTTTAATTGCACGTATCATTAAATTATATATATCGTACAATCACCTCAATACAAACCCGATAGGCAGATACACCCGAGCACGCACTACTGAGAGTCACAGATTAAACTAAGGCACACAACTGTATAAGTGAGAGTGTTACTTGCTTTGAGCTTTAAGGGCGAGTGAGGACCACAGGCACGTACACCCGTGAGTGAGCAATTGGCTGACATTCGTCCCAAAGTTCACTACATTGCGTTTACGATCCGTCCGCGCAAACATAAATCTGATCCGATTCGGAAACCCGATTCGACCCGGTTTGACTACTTTGGAAACCCGATTTGACCCGATTTCAATACTTTGCACTGAAGATACAGATGATAGCGCGACGTCCCGCAATCGGCGATGTCATGACAGATGCGATGCGTAGCACCAATCAAAAGCCCCCAACTATTTTTAGACGCAATTTGATTGGACGAGGGTCAACTCCTCGGATTGTACGCACATACGATCGCGCATTGTCCCGCGACCAGCAACGTTTATCCAAGCGCAGTGCCGGACTTAACACCACCAAGCTATAAATAAACGCGGTTTCATTGGTAGATACAATACACACCGGACTTAACACCACCAAGCTATAATTAAACTCGGTTTCATTGGTTGATACAATATACACCGGATTTAACACCACCAAGCTATAAATAAACGCGGTTTCATTGGTTGATACAATACACACCGGACTGTAGACCCGTACGATGGCGTGCTGTCCCGCAATTAGCGATGTTAATAGCGGAGAGTGAGGGTTGACACTCTGCACAAGCGCGCCATTTCCAGTGGAGTACAATATGCCCAAAAGAAGCGGCACGAACGTGACAGCCGCAACATACGTTGCCATGGCAACCCCCAGGTTGTTGAAGACGCCGGCGGAGAATATGCGTTGCTGTAGGAAGGTATAACAAAGGAAGTGATTGAGTGCTTGCTAAATCTCTACGTTATATAGCCTCGGCTAGATAGTAAACAACGTTCTATATTGTCAATTGGAAACGGGACCTATCAGCTTTTGAACCAAATATAAACGTAGGGCTTATTACAAAAATAATCGTAGGACTTATTCTTTAGGTTTTCAGTTGTGTTTAAGGCTTTTTGTTGTACTTTAGGTTTTCAGCTGTGCTTTAGGTTTTGAGTTGTGTTTTATGTTTTAGTTGTGCTTTAGGTTTTAGTTCTGTTTTATGTTTTAGTTGTGCTTTAGGTTTTCAGTTGTGTCTTCTGTTTTAGTTGTGCATTAGGATTTTGGTTGTGTTTTAGGTTTTAGTTGTGCTTTAGGTTTTCAGTTGTGTCTTTAGGTTTTTGTTGTGTTTAGGTTTTGTTGTGCTTTATGTTTTTAGTTGTGCTTTAGGTTTTTAGTTGTGCTTTAGGTTTTTAGTTGTGTTTTATGTTTTTAGTTGTGCTTTAGGTTTTCAGTTGTGCTTTAGGTTTTGAGTTGTGCTTTAGGTTTTGAGTTGTGTCTTATGTTTTTAGTTGTGCTTTAGGTTTTTAGTTGTGCTTT